ACACAAAAAGAAACCAACAACTGGTATACATCAACAGCTCAGTTTTCACTGTTACCTCTCACGCTCACAAAAGGATTTAAGATCTGTTCTAACAATCTCTTTTACCATTAATGTTAAATTAATGCATATATGCATGTACAGTTGTCCTATTAAGACACTAGAGATAAAATTCTAACAGTCCACTTCTGATATCATCAAGTCACGGTAGGTAGCTAATTTCTAGTTAATTAAATATGCAGCAAGTAGCTAATACAGTGTGTAAAACTCTTATCCTCTTTGAACTGCACACCTCCTTAAACCTGAAATTTCCCTCCAAAGAGAATACGACGAAAAAGAAACATTGAAAAGGGATGAGGAGGACAGAAAGCTACTGAAGAGCTGAGCCTGGATCTATCTATTTCTTTTAATATATTCATGGTGTTTTACTCCTTTTACCTTCAGAGAGAGAGTTCATTAAATTAAAGATGTGCTGTACTTCATTTAGTCAGTGTTAAGTGTTGGAAGCATGAGAAAAGCAAACCAGTGAGAAATCTGTAAAGCATATGTATTTCCTTGACACAAGGTGCCCAGAACAAGCACAGGATGGGACTGAGGTCCCGTGATTTGTGCTTGTCGTGGCTCCAAGGAGGAATGCAAAGTGAAGTGTAGACCGCACAGTCCCATTCTTTCACTTATCGCAAGGATTTCTGCAGTAGCCAAAACTTTTTTGTAGTGGCCTTGTGTTTCATCCTCCCTCTTTTTCCCCTCAAAAAAACCAGCTGTACCCTTCACACCAAGGAATGTGCTGTGTCATTACTTAGAAGATAATGGCTTGACTACAGTCCCACCCACTAACACATAAATACTTATTTAAATACTACCGCAACTTTGTGTCTAACTTGGGAGGACCATAATCCGACACCAAATGGGAGGTACAGAGTGACGTGTTTGTGCTCCTCGCACTCCCCCAGAAGGGATGTCTTTTACTAAGATTTGAGCCCTTGACTGTGCTGAGTGATTACCCAGGGACTAAGTGTGTGTGATTGCAATTGTTTTTCTTTTTGTGTGTAGTGCTATATAGCCAACCTGCAGTTTGTGCACTTGTCGCGGGCAATCTCAAAGAATCTGTAGATGTTGCATAAGAACAAACCGTACTATTCATGAACCTGACTGCTTCTCTTGAATGAGACCAGACCTACAGCCCACGGGCTGTTTGTGCATCTGGGTCAGAGCAGTTACCTCCCTAATTGGCATACCTATTAAGAGATAAGTCCAGCTTCCCCTAGCCTCTCTAATCTCTGAGGACCGGCTAGAATGCAAAGGGATTCATCTCTTACCTAATTTAATTCATCACCTTAAATGCAACAGTCAGCATTACAACATTTCCAGTGTTCTTAATCAGTCATCACAGTGCTATGCATCTCCAACCTTCTACACATTGGACCCTGGCTGTATGATAGAAACTGAGCTCAAATTAGAAAGAATATGAAGATTATTTAAATATTATTTTAAATGTTTGTGAATCTTTGTTTATATTACAAGATTCCGTAAAACCACCATTGAAATGAAAATCTTCATCTACCAGAGCATTTTATTTACTCAGCTGTAACTGCCAGAATCATGTCCCATTTCACTTTTTAGTTTTTTTGAAAAGGGTACTGGTGACTTCTGATGTTCTCCCAATACACTCCCTTTGTTGATAAATGAAACAGACAATAGAAAATAACCAAAATATGCGACTGAACATTTTAGTGACTGAGAAGGGGATCAGAGTTTATACACAATTTGCTTCACCTCTTCTATTCAAAAATTTGCATTCAGGTCTCAAAATATAGTAAGTTTCCACCAACCTCATTGCATCTTGGAGGGGCAGGGGGTGGGGATGAGCACTTCAAACAAGCCTGGATCTGCTGTACTGTAACTGCTCTGATCCACATATATGGAGTACCTTATTTTGTAATGCTTTCTAGTTCACCAAAACCATAACCTAAACCTCATTTTGAAGATTGTGTATATATTTAATGATGTATACATATATACTATATCTATTGTTATATTATATGAATACATTCAATAATAAAGAAAACCAACATATGTAGCCTAATAGTTAGCTTCACTCAGATGAGACCTGTAACTTCAAGAGAAGTACAGAGAAAATGTCCTGCTGGAGTTGAATTGTTGACAGCAGTGGCTTTAATTAGGCTTCACTTTGGTTCATGTCATCACTACTGCTCTTTCTGGCTGTATACAGCTCTTTCAGAAGAACTATAGAGAACTGTCTAGCCAGTCTTAAAACGTAAAGTCAACTGTCATTCATTCTTCCCAGAGCCATGGATCTCTGAATTGCATCTGACACATATTTCTGTATCGAGGCTGTCATTATTGATAAGAAAAGTGCTGATAACTTTTTCTTTCCTAAAAAAATGCTGCTCTAGTTGAACACACACTCTTCAGTATATCATACAAGAATCTTCTGAGAATGAGAAAAACCTTTGTTACCGGAAACAGAAAAAGACTCAATACACAAAACAATTAATGCAGCACTAACCAATGGAGCAATATGGAAATTACTATTAGGAATTCAAATTTATCATCTTAGCATCAATAAAAAAATTGGTTTAACCTCATGAGACTGACTATTCACATTTAAGTCATACCTACTACTATAATCTCTCCCTGAAAAGTTAAACTCAAAAGCATGTGATAGTTTTCTGTGGGTTTTTTTCTGCTCTCTGGCGGTTTTCTTTTCCTTTACAGATGATTTCTTCATACATGGTTGTGTCAAACGAATCCTAGTTGCCTCTGTGATTATGTTTTGTAACTATTGCTGACTTAATATTTTCACTGTATTTTAACTTTCAAGTTTAATTTTCTTGGGTACATTGGAATAGTCCAACACTACTATCCAGGGCTAATTAATTATAAATGCACATTTTAAAAGGTTTCAGGAAACTAGGATTTACTTTTTCTGTAACGGAATGTACCTTTCAAATACTCTACCTCCCCTTGTTCCTAAGTATTGGCAAAACAGACCTTGCTTTTAACCAAAGGTTTTCAGGCCTTTGTCTATTGTTTCATTACAAAACCAAACAAAAACCTTCTGTCTTAAAGTTCTGAAAGCTAAATTAATTAAAAAAAAAAAACCAACAACAAACAAACAAAAAAAAACCCACAAAGAAACCCCCACCTTTTCTAGAAATTAGATTTGTGCTCTTGTATTATGTAACCATTTGACCATATGAATGTTGGAACTGTCTAACTTGAAATCCTGCTGGAGTACTTGGAGTTGAAAACAGAGCCATAAGTCATTGAAAATTTAATTTCCCCTAGATTTACAGTGAAAGCTCAGCTTTGATCTATGACATCTATGTCCCAACAAACTGGCTATTCTTAATGTTATCATGCTTCAGACACATGCTTCCATCACTGAAATATAAGGTGTAATTTTTGGATCACTGATACAGGACTACAATAATGAATTAATAAACTGGAAGTGACAGAGAATGCTTTGAAGAATGTAGCTATGATTAACAGACATCAATCAGCATGCTAAGCCTCTGATTCAGCAAAGTGCTTCTGTCCCAGTCCTGACTTCAAGCATGCGAGCAGTCCCATTGATCTGAGTCAGTCTCGGCCCTGGCACAGTGGGGTCACTGAAGGAGCAGGACACTGCTCCAAAAGCACAAGCCTGCCACAGCTTTGTTTCCATTAGGGACAAGTCAGAATTGGGTGGTGGCAGTAGCAGCAGCAGAAGACCAGGGCACAGTTGGCTGGAGAGTGGGGGCTACCAGGAAGGTGATGACTGAGTTTCCTGATGCTTTCAAACCCACAGACACCTTGCCCTTGTGAACAGCCTGTGCAACCAAACGGCCACCCTCCCTCAACACTCCTTCCCTATTCAAATCTCACAGGGGTTTGTTTGTTTGTTTAAGGGATTTTTGGTTGTATTTGCTGTAGTCATAAAAAGGAAACTTTAGAAATGCACAGGTATGTTGATGAGTCCATCATGTGCATATCTAATAGATCTGCTACTCAGATCATGGTTGTTTATATACCAAATTCTACAAAGACTATGAACTCTCCCTGTCCTGAGCAAGTCACTAGTAGATGGAGTTATAAAACAGAAAACAAAGAAACAAAAATTTTATGTGGCGATACCCAATAATGGGACATTGAAAGCAAGGCTTCTGTATTTTAGATACACAAAAATTAGGAAAGATGCAGCAAAATAAGGAATTAAAATTAAGTCTCAGGATATGAATAAGGGAGCAGGTTATAGGGAATTATACTACGGAAATGGAAAAAAAGTGGGAGAAAGAGGGGGAGAAAGAGAAGGACAGTGAAAGAGAGAGAAGGAGAGAGGAAGGGAAGGACAAGACACACCCCCCAGAAACAATGGAGTTTGAAGCTCCCAGCAGAACAAGAAATGCCATTTTGTCTCATGATTGGGAAGACCATATCTACAAAGACTGAACCTAGAGTTTCTAATGCCCTGACTACAAGCCTGGTCTTGGACCAGGAGTTGTGACAAGACAGAGATTTTGCTGACCCCAGTCAAAAGGGTAGCACTCAGCTTACCAACAAAACCACTCACTTGCCTGCAGCAAGACTTTGAGAGAATTTTATGCATTTCTAGTCCTTCAAAAAAGCCCCATGAAGTCTTTGCCAAAATTACTAGCCTTCCACTTCTTCCAACCCGATATTATTTTAGAATAAAGCAGCCTGTTTTTCTTTCCCCTTTCTCTTTCTCTTTCTCTTTCTCTTTCTCTTTCTCTTTCTCTTTCTCTTTCTCTTTCTCTTTCTCTTTCTCTTTCTCTTTCTCTTT